GCATAAACACATTTCATTACACCAAATACACAAAATCATGTTCTTTTTAGCAACATCATATGACCCCTTTAAACAGACTAAACAATTGGGGAAGTCCTGCATATGTCACCACAGAGAAATCTGGTGTATTCACTGGAAGGCCCAATTTTTATTATGCATTACAAGGTCAATTAAAAAATAAATAATAATAATAAATAAAACATATGCAATTATGATCTGGAAATATGTTCCAAAACATGCCAACTCTTCTGCTGCACACTCAAAAGTATGCACATTTTCTTTACAAAAAGAATACACACTTTTAGGGAACGGCATAAGTAGGCAAACTGGGACGCATCACAACAGATTTACTTAATTTCTCAATTTGCATCAACATACAAAGTGCAGAATTTAATTAAAGCGACCTGATGTCATTGTAAAAATACAATCATCATACAACAGCAGCGTTCATTAGCATGTAGCTATTCTGTACTGTCTGCCAAGAGAAACAGGCATGTGTTTTTTTGTTTTGTTTTTTCAAGAGAAACAAGCATATGGTGGCGCTGAAGGACAGTTACTGCAGCAGTTCTAAAAGCCCTGCTGGAAGATTGATTGCCCATGCAATGAATGTCAGTTTGATGCCACTTTAGACACGACCAAAAGCTACTTCTATTTAAGGGTAACGTTAAAAGCACAGTTCAGACAACAACAAAAAATGTAATCGTTTACACAACCTTATGTTGCTCCATTCTCATATGAAATGTTAGGCAGAAAAGATGCAATGAAAGTAAATAATGACATAGGCTGTCAATATCTAAATGTTCTGCCAAAAATCTGATTGTTGTAGATTAAAGATAGTCAGGCAGATTTAAATCTGAGGGTATGTAAATTATGACAATTTGATTTTAATGTTAACTGTCAATTTAAGCAACGTAGCCGCTGTCAGAAATATAAACAGAAGATAACTACAGCACATCATCACATTAACTTTCTCTTTATATAGACAAAAGAAACATTTAACCTCTTGTTAGAGTTGTTATTCGCTCGTCACAAAACCGAGTGCCTGCTTAGACGACACTACGCATTTAGAACGTTCACGCGCCCTTTGTATCTACAAACGCTGTCTAGGTAGGCAGCCAACTAGGTTTTGTGACAGCCCGTGTGTGTTGTTTGACTGAGCAATACCTTTTCCATCTGCGCGTCCTGGTTCTCACTCTTCGTCGACTTCTCCTTCTCCTTTTTCGTCTTTTTCAGCACCATTGCGGCTCCTCCGGTTGCCTGCTCCTTTCCCTTAACGTTACCCTTCTCCTTCTTTTTCTTCTTGTCGCGCTTAGCGAAGAAGTCATCCAGACTCTTCTCCACGCCGGCCGGAGCCACATCCGCCATCTTATCCCCAAATTTCTCTCACTAAACACTAAAAAAGCTTAGAAATTATCAGATCAGTGTCTGAAACGACAGCAAACGAGCCCTTGCGTGCGTGTGTGCCCGGTAATCCGTATGTTTCATGTATCCGCAGGTTAAAGGTGTGCTGAGAGCAGCATGACAAACTCGCCAGCTGAAAGTGTGACACAGTCGCCCAATGCACCGGATAGTGTTGCTTCCTATCTGACCCGGTTGGGAAAGCGCCTTTGTGATTGACAGTTCTGCTTTCCAATCGCTGAGCGACAATGTTAGTTTTCGACCAATCCCATCGCAGGGTGAGGATTCTGCGTAGTGATTTTGCCAGATTGTGCAACTTTTGTTTTTCAATTCGATCTTTAGTAGTTATACAACACTTGTGGAGTACTTTAGTTAACAAATGAAAGAAAACGTATTTCTACTGATAAATTTAGGTATGTGGTGCCATTTTAAACTGCAAAAAAATGCACAGAAGAGGCAGAATTGCAGAAATAATGTTAATAAATTATTGTTTTAAACATGACATGAATATAGAAACGTGAAATAGCAAATTAAAATATAGAATTAAAAAATATATAAAGAAATTGTTAATATTAACACAAAATAAACATTTTATGTAATATTTTATATAATTTTTTGAGAATCTGGCATCTGAATATTGAGGGTGGTAGGCTCCTCAGTGCCTTTAAGGGTTATTGGCTTGCTTAGGGCCCTTTATAAGAAGAAGTGATTGAAAAGGGGTGTTGTTAAGATACTATAAATAGTCTTTCCTGTTGCGTTGACACGCTAATGTGGAAACTCCTGTTTACTCTGGTACTGAAGCCTGATTTGTTCACGTTCGTGTACCTGTACAAACCAATGGCGCTTCAACCGAGCAAAGGGGAAGGAGCGACTTCTATATAAGTCGTCTCTGAGCGCCATTTAGTCAGAATTTTTATCCTTCAGTGACGAAGATCATCTCCTCGCTGACTCTGCAAGCAAGAAGCCTAAGAAGGAAAAAGCTCAGCTTAGCCTGTTGCTCGTCACCGTAGAATAAGCCCCCGGCAGCGGGAGAAGCCAGAAGCCTTCCCCTGTGGCCAACCGGCACTATAAGAGCAAATTTCCGAGCAAATTTCCTGTGATGTTGATGCAAATGTCGCGCCGCAAGTTTGGCTCGTACAGGGAACCCCTGCACGATGCAGACGAGCACAGTGAGTGCATCGCCCTGTCTGGGCAGATCCCACGCAGAGGCTCCGTTCACTGAAACGACATGCTCTCACTGCGAGAGCATGAGTCTCGCCCTTCTCCGCTCTCGGATCGCCTTCTTTAATGAAGGCAGTCCTCCCCGCTCTGCTCTCCCATTTCCTCTCTACCCTAGGAGAAAGAAACAGAGGGGCAGCGGGGTTTTAACACTGGGCTCGAGTGAACTCATGCCAGCGCAATTCCCATGTGCTTCACTCTCCCCCCAACGCCTCGATTCACTGGTGCGCTTCAGACGTGAGGATCATGAGGAACGGCTTCCGATGCTGAAGAGTGGGCGTGTTCCAGCAAAGAGCCCGAAACCCTACCTCTGGCACAGACAACATGGCCCAGCGTGTTTGCATTTAACACAGAGTGATGGAAGCCCCATTCAAGCTGGGCCCGTCCTTCTCACTCAGTGCACGCCCAAGCAAACTGCTGTGATAGTGGACCCACATACTCAAAAGAGCATTTCTCCTCTCCTCATTACCACAAATGTCAGTTCCCCGCCCCCGTGCAGCGAACTTCCATTCGAAAAAACTCTAATCACTTGCTTCAGAATGAAATGGCTTCATTCTTGGAAAGTCATCCCGAATGTGTCAAGTTGGGTTCTAAAAACCATAGAAAGAGGTTTCTCACTTCAGTCCGGCCCGAAGTACAAACACTGCTTGCAAAAGGAGCCGTGGAAACGGTTCCTATAGCAAACAGCGAATCAGGGTTTTACAGCCACTACATCCTCGTTCCCAAGAAATATGGTGGGCTCAGACCGATTCTCGATCTCAGACATCTGAACCGCTTGCTTATGAGACGGCTGTTCAAGATGTTAACTTTGAAACTAATCCTGGCACATGTATGTCCCGAGGACTGGTTTCTGTCAGTGGATCTGAAAGACACTTACTTTCACATACAGATAGCCCCCCATCACAGACCGTTCTTGAGATTTGCATTCGAGAGAGTGGTTAATCAGTACACAGTCCTGCCATTCGGACTGTCCCTGGCCCCGCGCACTTTTACGAAGTGCATAGATGCCACTCTTTCCCCTCTGAGACAGATGGGAATCCGCATTTTGAACTACCTCAACGATTGGCTTGTTTTTAGGCAGGTCAGAATGGGAACTCATCACTCACAGGTCGCTCCTGCTTAGCCACATGGACCACCTTGGGTTCAGAATCAATTTAGCCAAGAGCTCTTTGGCTGCATTTACACTGGCACAAAAAATCTGATTTTTTGCTCACATCTGACAGGGATCAGAATAAACACAAACTGTGTAAACACAAAAATCTGCACAAGATCAGATTTTTTTCGCATCCGATTTGAGCCACTTCCAAATGTGGTTTTAAATCAGACACATATGCGATATCTGGACATCCGACCTATGTCTAAACACACATATCCGATTCCCCGCAGAACTCCCAATGCTAGGGCGACACGTTTCCCCATAAAGATTGTGTTTTAATGCTGGTGTGGTGTATGCCCTCGCATTTTATTGATATGGAAACTTTATATAGGTAAGAAGAGCTGGTTTTCAACCCCTGCCCCGTGAATTTTATAAATACAACAGCTAAAAGCTACATTATATTTCTCAGCAATTAGGTGATAACTTAGCAGTTTTTTCATTACAATAAATATCATCTTTGCGCTACTTTATTTCACTAAAGAATTCTACCTCTAATGAGCTGTAGATAAAATAGCCGAACAAGTTAAAATTACTGTTATTTTCCTTTATTTATCCGTTCAGTCAGATTTTGTGGGGCAAAACATCCATGACAGCCGTTGTCCATGCTGGCAAATAATAATAGCCACTCGACATGAATTATATAAATAATTTTAATAGCACAGCCATTCAAAACCCGAGGGTCTACCATGTGCAGTAAAGCAATAACTGCAGACAGTCCTTTTGGGCGGGAATCAATTTAAACACAGATACAGATATCAGATACCAGTTGTGTCTAAAGTGAATTTAAAAAGGCGGGCCAAAAAATTGGATATGGTCAAAAGATCGGATTTGTGTATTAAGACTTACAGTGTAAATGTAGCCTTTGTCTCCTAGCCAGCGAGTGGTCTTTCTGGGGACAGTTATCGATTCTGCCTGAATGCGGGCATGGATTACGCCGGAATGCTCCCTGACTATTCAGCGTCTAGTGGCGTCATTCAAATTAGGGACTTCACGTCCCCTCATGTCAGCCGCTTCTTCTGTGATTCCTCTGGGCCTGCTCAACATGAGGCCCCTACAGTACTGGCTCAGAGCCCATGTTCTGTCCCACGCTTGGCGCCTGGGACATTTTCATATCAGGGTAACCCACTGCTGCATCAGAGCCGTGGCCCCTTGGAAAACCTCTCGTCTGTTTCAATCAGGCGTCCCATTGGGACTGATCTCCAGAAGGAAGGTGGTCACAACAGATGCCTCCAACTCGGGTTGGGGAGCTTTGTATGAGGGCAGAGCGGAGTCTGGTCAAACCTGGAGCAATGAATACACATCAACTGCCTCGATATGATGACGGTTTTTCTGGCCCTAAAAACCTTTCTATCACCTTAAAAGGGCCCAACGTCCTGGTCCATTTGGACAACATGACGATGGTAGCCTTAATCAATCACCAAGGCGGTCTCAGGTCATGCTACCTTCACAGGTATGGGCACAAGGCAAACTCCTCTTACTGAGAGCAGCTCATGTGCCGGGCAGACTGAACCAGGGGGCAGACATGTTGTCCAGGGACAAGGTAGCTCCAGGAGAATGGAGACTACATCCTCAAACAGTTCAAATGATTTGGTCTGTCTTTGGGAGAGCAGAGGTGGACCTCTTCACCTCAGAAGACAACTTTTACTGCCCAGTCTACTTTTTGAGACAGCAAGATGCCCTGGCCCACGATTGGCCCAGCACTCACCTGTACGCCTTCCCCTCATTTGCCCTGCTTCCTCAGGTAATCAGACGGGTCAGGGAAATCAGATGCTCAGTCCTCCCGGTGGCCCCGCTCTGGAGGAATCAGATGTGGTTCATCGAGTTGATTCAGATGCTATCGGCATCCCCTTGGCCAATACCACTGAGGGAGGACCCCCACTACACCAGAGGAATGACCTCCTCCTGGGCTTGGTCCAGCAAGATTTCTATTGGTGATATTTGTGCAGCCACCGACTGGTCATGGCGTCTACCTTCACCAGGTTTTACCAAAGATTCTGACGAAATGGCGCTCAGAGATGACTTATATAGAGGTCGGCTCCTCCCCTTTTGGTGGGTGGAAGCGCCATTGGTTCATGCAGCTACTCGAACGTAAACAAATCAGGCTTCGGTACCAGAGTAAACAGGAGTTTCCCCATAAGCGTGTTAACGCACTGCTCATTCCCTTATCTCAGGGAACCAAGGTTACTTTAGTAACCAGAGCATTTTGCTATGAAGCATAGGATTTTCTTTATTTTTTTTAATTATTTTTTTACAATGGCAGCATAAAGTTTTATAGGCCTAATACAGTCCCAGAGACACACTCTCTACTATTGGACATTGTTTGAAAATGTCAAAGAACTTCGAAACTTGCACTATAATATAATTTGGTCAACTAATTTTAAGGCAGCTGTCTGTTCACATTAATGATAGATACAGGTCACCGAATGTGAGCAGTCAAAGCAAAAAGAACATTAAGGCCTTTAATATCAACACAGTCACCATTTATCATACAATAATGTTTACTTTATTCTTGTAATGTCTACTACGTTCATACATTTCTGTGTGCATGGTTATTTTTACAAATGAAGACTTGTTCATTCCTGTTCATTAAGAACACCAGTAAGCAGCTTTCAGTAACAACAGAAGAGCAGCACAAAAAAAATCAAACACTAAACCACCTCTGAGAAAAGATCTTCACCTCTCTAAAGAAGATCTTTAGAGATGCAGGGATGGCTTTGATATTTATGATGTATGGATTTTTTTCTGTTATAACGCTCCTATCTCAGTTAAAGAATGCAAGGTTTGGGTGGGACATATTTAAAGGCACGTCCTGTTTAAATAGCCAACAGACTTTTGTGAC